ACTGGGTGCTAGCAACAAGAAGCTTAAAATGTATTAATTTATAATGAATGAGAAATCCTAGGTTAACATCAAGATGGGAGCCACCACCTGGCATGTCTGTTGGCTTGAAAACTAGACAAATATAAATATTTAATACCATATTTCAAAGGCAGAGAGAGGAAGACATTGAAGAATTCACATGCAAAATGGAGTGCAAAGTGGATCCTCCAAACCCAAATAATAGTAATTGTTTGAAGCAGGTGTAAAACCTATATTTCCTGAGACAAAGTCCAGGGCCATTATTTGTCTGGAAATTGTTATGGGCTGTGCAGACAGGGGTGGATAGGGGCGGTCTTGGATACTTTGATGATGAAGTAAGGGAACTATGTACACCAACACCTGTCACTGTCACTGACCTCCCCTTGTTCATCGATATGCTCGAGCTGGGCCAGTAACGTCTCCATTGCCACAATTGTTACTGTGTTTGGCATATCGAATATGTCACAGGTAGCTTACCAGGCTTTGCTGTGTGGGAGAGATACTCTCAGTAGCTTGCTGGGTTCTCCGAGAGGGGTGGAGGAATCAAACTCGGGTTGGCCATGTTGGCCGCCTGCAATGCAAATGCCCTATCCACTGTGCTATCGCTCCAGCCACCAACACCATAAATGTCAAACCCATTGTAAACATACTACTTTAGTTAAGTGAACAAAAAAATTCAAGATCTCTCTTTAATTATTCTTGTTAACTGGTCTCCAATCAGCAAACCAATATGGTTAAAAATTAAGCCAACTGTTTACTGAGTACCAACTTTAAGACTGGCACTTGGAAAGTCTGAGTGGACAAGACCAGCATGATCATCATCCCAAAGGGCTCCGAGTCTTGTCCACCTACTCTAGACTGCACTCTCTGCATGTGGCCTCATGACTCATCAGCAGAACAGAGCAAAACATAAAACAAACACCGACAAAAATTATAGCCATGTCTGAAGAACACAGCTCTCTAGCTATAGTCCAAAACCCAGGTTTAAGTCACTATCTTGTAATTCAAAGATCATTTTCCTGTAGAAGCAACTTCTATTTGATTCTCAGGCAATTCCATAAAACTTGAGCAGCACTGTTTTTAGCTACTATGTAATTTAAAGGGGGTTTGATTTAGGTCACTCTGGTTCTTCAAATAGACTGTTTTGAAGCTTACTTCATAAACCGGTTACTACCACAGACTGAAAGAATGGATGCTTAAAATGGAAGTGTCCATTGCTAAGGATAGGCAAGAGCTTGTGAATATTTATATATTCAGACTCAATCTAATCTATTTTCATAACAAAAGCATCTCCCTGTAGACACATAGAAAGAAAATAATTATACTGCAAATGCTTCTTTACTCCTCAGCCAGTGACTCCCATTGACTCCCAGCAGGGTCTGCAGTCCTGGCCAAGGTTATATGCATTACATACATCCCTTTAGAAATCACAAGTGGCATATTTCCTGGATATTTAAGGAGGTCTAGTGGTATTTTATATATTATTCCCTTTTTAAAACTTTTTTTCTGCAGCAATACCAGCTCTAATAGCATTTAAAATACATTAACTTACATTAATTTTTAAATACTGGCTTTTATGTAGTTTTGTTGTACTTCCTATCAGTCTCATCTTACCTTATAGATTCCCCAAATTACCAATTCAGCCTGATTAGTAAAACGATAATAATTCAGCTTAGGTTTATTTTATTTAAATCATGGTGCAGGGTGAAAAAAATAGAAAAATAAGATATTCAAATAGAAAAAATAAGCTATTCAAACAAGAGCATAAGTTTCTGAGATTTTTCTTTAAAAAAATGTTTTATTTATATTTAAAAGTAAGAAATGAATTGGCTTTTTTTCTGGGTTTTGAGACACACCTGGTGACGCTCAGGGGTCACTCTGGTTCTACATTCTACATTCAGGAATTACTCTGGCGGAGCTCCAGGGACCATATGGGATGCAGGGATTGAATTCTGGTCAGTCAAAATGTGCAAAGAAAACATCTGCCAAACTGTACTATCGCTCCAGTCCCTGAATTACATTTAGAACTAATAACAAGTAATAGTGTTTAAAAGAAAGTCATTTAGAGCACTATGGCAATTTAAGCAATTTCACAATACATTAAGAGTACTCTTAATTTATACTTGGAAAATGTAGGTGCTATAAAAGCAATTCCACCAACAGTTTTATGTTAGTACTGAAATCTTTTATGAAATACAATCACTGTCACTGTCACTGTCCTCCCGTTGTTCATCGATTTGCTCGAGCGGGCCCAGTAACATCTCCATTGGAGACTTTGTTGTTACTGTGTTTGGCATGTCAAATACATCATGGGTAGCTTGCCAGGCTCTGCCGTGCGGGCGAGATACTCCCGGTAGCTTGCCGGGCTCTCCGAGAGAGGTGGAGGAATCGAACTTGGGTCGGCCATGTTGGCTGCGTGCAAGGCAAACGCCCTACCGCTGTGCTATTGCTCCAGCCCATGAAATACAATACAAAACAAAATGTCTATGTTTTTGTTTTCTTCTATCACTGCCTTAAAGAATATAATCTAATAGTCAAACTTTGTAACTTTGTGCCTCTTACCCCCACCCCTGCCACTCTCTCCCCCAACAACAACAACAACAACAACAACAACAACAACAACAAAAGGAACCTAGAAGAACTGCCCTGAGATCTGAGTCTTACAGCTCAGAGGATGTGATAACCTACTCTATGAGAAGTCACCTGGCTATGTTCTCTGCTCAGAGCCTTATAAATATCTTTGTACCAATAAGGAGCCCTGGACTTGGGTTGGACAGGACTGCACCATGGAGCCACCTTGATCTACAGTCACCTTTCTTCTCAGGACCATAATATCTTCCTTCCTTCTGATGACACAGATCTGTCATTTTCTATGCACGTGATTTATGTCCATTGAATGTTCTTGAACCACACATACTCACTGTACCCCTTATTCGTAGGAATGAGTTTCCTGAACAACCACTAAATATACATCTTCTGTTCTATTGCTTGAATTCTGCCGGATATTCAACTAGATCCTCACTTCATGTATGTGAAGCCTGAAGCAACAGCCGTGCTGGTTAGAGATACTTTCTAACCTAAGTGGTTTTCCTGCCAGTGAAACCCTTTTTCTATTCAGATGTTCCTATGCTTTTTGGACGACAGGAGCATATTGAGAACCTAGATATAATTCAGTCTTTTCAACAGGAAGTTGGACTAAAAACAGGTTCCTAAATATTGTTTTATGGAATCCCAAAATCTTAGCTAAACTCACAAACATCTTCCTTTCAAAGAACCCCTGAAACAATTCCAAACTAAAGCTTGCTCAAAACAAAAGTGATAATGCCAAAATCCGACTCTTTAGTACAAATTCTACTTGTGGACATTCACTCCAAGAGCCTTTAATGAAGAAAGAAGCTGGTCGGAATAGGGGAGACACATGTCATGGCAGGCAGGTACAGGACAGTAGCAGGCTGGCCTAGACCTGACTGCAAACTGGAAGGGGGTAAGATAGGTCTGTGAAAGGTTGGGTGAGTTTTGTTTGCATCACCTCTTCCATGTTTTGTCACTCTGAGAAGGGGACTTAGCAGTGCATGCTAGCATAGATCAGCAATTCTCCAAGAAGGCTTGGACCAACAGCTGTATCGCTGCACATTGGAAACTTTTAGAATAGGGCTTTTTCTGGCCCAACACAGACGTGTTTATTTAGTTAGAACTCTCAGGATGGCCCAGAAGACTGTGTTTTCATAGGATTCCAGAATCTTACGAAAGAAAACAAAGTCTGAGAACCCACTGTAGGGTTTATTAAATTTGCCTTCATTTTTATAGACCCTTTTACCAGCATTACTTATAAATGAAGAATGGAAGATATCTTAAAAGTCAGACATCAACATGCCAAAGGGGAATGAGAATGAGACGTCAGAGTTTCTGTTTATTAGCCCATTATACCATTGCTTATCCTGTTTTCTTTGGATTTAGTCAATAGTTGGTACTAAATCAAGCAAGGGAAGAGAAAAACATCAGAGACAGATCTGACCCTCAGAAATCAGGATATACTGTACAATTTACCACTATTTAAATGTCTTTTCCAAGTAGCAAGCACCAAAAATAATAATTGCAGTAAACCTTACTGCCTAAAAAAATCTACCAGACTTTCTGTCCAACACAACTAAGATAACACCAAATCTTTTTCACAGTTTTCCTAAGTCAGAGAATATTTATAAGACCACACACACACACACAAACAAAATTCAATAATAACATTATAGTCAACGCCTGAGTATAAACTTCAGAGCAAATGTATTTAAACCATTGGAACCCTTGGTTATTTCTATAACAAGAACATTTAAACAAATATCTAGTAAAATTAATTCACAATATTCTGAAAGAGATATATGATATGCTATTGGGCAATACAATTCATGACATTTAATAGAGCATGAGGAAAATTTCTGCTAAAAGTAAAATAGAGCTTTAACAAGGCATCAGTGAATATTATTTTGTTTCTTAAAACTGTTTAAAAAAACTGTTTAAAGATTTTGATAGCAAGTACCGATGAAACCAGCAATAAAACCAAAATCTACCACAGAAAAACTGGAAACCAGATGTACTGGAAGCAGAAAGGGTCTTTATTATTTATTATTTTATTACATAAAATAAACACGTTCATAACTTGCCTATTGCCTCTGAATCCTACCTGATTTTCTGGAGAAAAAGAAGAGCTCAGGCACTTTTTTGTACATGCCATTTTTAGCCACCTGATAATAAGAAAGCAGTTGTGTGTCTTCTGAGGCAGTAGTCCTTAATGGAAAGTGGATAGTGCTGAGTAATCAAAATTATTTTTCTCTGGTTTTATTTGCATTACCACAATCCTTGTTGAGATTTTTTAAATCTTAAACCTAGTCATTGCAAATCTAGCTGCTTTCTTCTTGTGTGGTAATTAGTATTATTCACAGCCAGAAAATGATTCAAACATTAAGTAAAATAAACACAACCCTTCTTACCTTTCATGCCAAACTTGGAATGTCTTGCCAATTTCAGCAAAAAGAGCATTACTACGAGACAGAATCCCACCACAGATGCAATTACTACCACAGCATAGACCTAGAGAAAAGATGGGAGGGGAGTTATGATCGTGCTAATTTTCTCCCTGTACCCTCACAAGGAAGAGGACAATAAGGATGATAGTGATAGTAATGAAAGTTCATACTTTTAAATGTCTACAGCTTACACTTCTAAGAGTAATATGTAGATGAAATTATTTAATCCTCTACAATTCTATAATAAAGTATTTACAAATGAGAATACAGAAATTCAAGCACATAAAAATGAACATTCAATAGAAATATATATCACTTAAAGATATAGCTATTACCTTCCTCTTTTGGGGACCAGGATTATTTTGCTACATCTGACAGTGCTCAGAAATTACATTTGGTTCTGTACTCTGTAATCACTTCTAGAAGGATTGGGGACCATATGGGATGCCTGAGGATCAAGTCTGGGTTGGCCATGTGCAAGGCAAATGCCCTACCCACTGTAAACACATCTCTCTCTTTCTGGCCCTAAATACATTTCTCTCTTTCTCTCTCTCTATACAAACACACATATATGTATATATATATCTGTATATATATACATATATATGTAGTTACTAGCTATCTGAAGGTGAAGACAAAGAGACAAAAAGATAGAACAAAATACTGGCAAATATTTGAAGCAGGTAATGATGTGCTAGGACATATTATTGTATCTACTAGAAAACTGTAATAATTTTTAAATATTAGATATCAACTGTTCTTAGATAAGAGGGTACTCTAGAATAGAATTTTCCAACTGGGGGCCATTCAGCCTTTTTGTGAGACTTCAGGATATTCTCAGAGGGCCAAAGGTAAAATAACATCAAAGGAGGCATGGCCAACATGTAGGACAAAGGGGCCAAAGACAGGAAACAAGTTTGGAAGGGGGACATAGTCCCAAAAGTTTGAGAAACACTGTCCTAGCACAATGAGTTGGGCTGGAAGGAGCAGGAGGGCTCTTGGGGTGGGTTCAGTTTATGAGAAGCCATTAGATTATTGACTTGTGCCAGGTGTATTTTCATGTATGTATGAAATAGGTCAATTGAAAAATGGTTTCTAAGGTTTTAAATTAATTATACAAATTACAAAATGTGTGCTCCATTTTGTACTAGGATTAGGTAAAGAGCTATGAGAATCCTGTCACAACCCTGTATTGGATGATCACAGAGGCAAAGAGTCAAGCAGTAAGTACATGTGAACATTTTAGGGACAACGATGAAAGCAGGACAGTTATCTTTCCTGATATATTAAAACAGCCTGCTTCCACACATTCCGATTCTCTAATCCAGGACTGGACAGCTTTTACTATGAATATTAGGTAGTAAATATTTTAGGGGTCTAGAGTGTCTCTTGTTAAGATTCCACTCTTGGTCCGGTCCTCCCCTTGTTCATCGATTTGCTCGAGCGGGCCCAGTAACGTCTCCATCATGAGACTTGTTACTGTGTTTGGCATATCGAATACCTCACGGGTAGCTTGCCAGGCTCTACCGTGCGGGTGAGATACTCTTGGTAGCTTGCCGGGCTCTCCAAATATGAATGTCAATAAAACTTTATTTACAAAGACAAATGGTTAACTAAACTGGAAAATTTACTGATTCCCACTTTTAACTTACATATCTAAGATCTTTCTTAGTCAAGATCAATTTCTTAAGCTTTATTATGTTATTTAGACTGACATGTTAATCCTCAAGACCGGCAGTATTTTTCCCATCTGTGCTAATAATTACTACTGTTTCCAAGCATTTCTGCTTTTCCCAAAGAAACAAGAAGGCGAATTCTGGCTTAACTTTTGTCTTCTTTGGGGAAAGATACATAACTTGAATAGTTCTTATCAATAAGTTTTAGCCTGTATGCCTGCCAGACTAACAAGAGATCTTGACTCTGCTCAACTGCAACTACAACTTAGTATGCTAAGGCCTCAATCAGGGCAATGCTGTTCACGTATTTGGGCATTTGGGATTGTCACAACTGGACAGGAGGACTGCTACAAGTACCTATAGGGTAAAATCACAGACACCGCAAAACCTCTCATATCTCAGAGCAATTATCCCCCAACATATAATTACTCATTTCCAAGTGTCCATGGTACTAAAGTGCTTAGTAGAAAACCTTTGTGTTTTTGGTGGAGGGGGTGGACCTCACCAGCAGTTCTCAGGGCTTACTCTATGGCTCCATGCTTATGGATGACTCCTGGCAGGCTCATGGGACCATATATGGTGCTGAGGTTCAAACCCATGTTAGTTGTGTGTAAGACAAGAATCCTATCACCCACGGTACCAGAACACAGTACCCACAGCTCAATCCCCAATATGTTCTTATTTTAAGTCACAAATATTTGGAAGGATTTATTTTGTTTTACTGCAGAGCAATTTATCCTCATTGAGGGACCATCACATAGTGAGGGCAGTATCAAGTGGGGCTTTGCACATGGAAGCAAAGAGAGGATGAGAGGGTTGAGTATTTATTCACATTGGTCATCCACAAATAAGCAATTGTGGAAATTCTAAAAAGGAGCATAGAGTAAATATTTCCAGCTTTGCAGGTCATGTGATCTTGGCTGCAAAAATACCAAGAGACAATACGTAAATGGATTTGCAGAGTATGTATAGTGAACATATCAATATGTTTTACTGGATTTTGATACAACTTTATCTATGTTTACTTTTTGACATCACAAATATGTTCAAGTGCCACTTTGTATAACTGTCATTCTTCTATTTTTTTCACATAAGTTAAAAATGTAAAAATGCTTTTTAGCCTACTGACCACACACAATGATAGGTATGAGTCAGACTGAGCCAACTGGTCATATGACAGCCCTGGGTTAACCTTGCCTACATCGGTGGAGGTGAGGAGAGATGAGTGGGTCTACAGTTCAAACAGATGCAGAACTCACAGAATATGGGACTGGAAACATGACAAATGAGGAGGAAAGAAGAATGGAAGAAAATCCATTTTGAGTTTCATCTGAGAAGTTGACAGCCAATCCTTCTATGAGTAATTTTCTTACTAACAGAACCACTAGCAACTGGAGGAGTATGCAGAGAAAAAACAAATAAATCAAAGGCTATTAGTCCCTTGATCAACTGCCTCTTGGGCGAGATCTACTGCAACATTAAGACTTCGTCATGCCATACTTTCTTCCATGCCAAATTTCCATTACATTGTTTTTGCTACTTAATTTATAAACCAGACTAGATTTTTCTTTGATTTTTCTTAACATTCTGTTTTTCAGAAAATTTTTTTTTACGCCTTTCTGTTAAGTCCTCCAAAAGCGATGCCCAATTTATAGCTGAAGAATAAAAGAAAGTATTGAAAGATATGCATTCCAACATCTCTGCTCTTTGCGCATTTAAACATTCAGAATGCTCAGACCCGTTATGAGAAACAGCTACTTATACCACTCACCGAGAGATGTTCACGATCTCTTTTATCATCAGGAGGGATTTCATTACTTCCATTTGTGGAGTCCCCAAAGTCACTTGCTGCCGTCCCATAATCTTTTTATGTTAGAACAGGGAAGATAGAAGGAACCAAAAAGTAGTCATTATGCTGCCAACAAACATGAGGCCTTTGACCATACTGAGACCAAGAACAGAGCCAATAAATCACAAAATTTTCAAACCTTTGGAAATAAGGCTGGCAAGAACTAGCAACTGTCTCTTGGGTGAATATGAAGATTGCCTTATGCCAAACTTTGATGCAGCCAGGTCTTAAAATTGTTTTTACTACTCCATTTCTAAACCAGACTGGGTTTTTCTTTGCACAAGGCAATGTTCTGTTTTTCAGGGAAATGTATTATAAATACAAAAAAAGGATCAATTGTTTATTTAAGGGTCAGATTTATAGAACTGAAGGGTCTTCGGAGACAGAGTCTCACTGCTGACTTTACAGCTGACAGTTTCAGGGGAGAGTTGACTGACTAGTCCCAAGTCACTTGAGAAGGAGGCAGTACCTAAACTTGAAATCAGCACCAGTGACTTAGGGACACTTGCATCTCATTTGCATATGTGGCAATCACTTAATATAGAATGTGGAATACGCATCAGTGTGGGATCTCAATCCACTTTGGGGAAAAAGTTCTGAATTGTCAACATATTTGTTTCACAATGAGTAGAAAATTATGTCAACAAGATATTTGGTATTGAAAGGCTATGTTCTTAATTCACTATATTTCAAATGTAGTTACTATCTTCTGATTCAACATGAGTCAGAATGGAGGTAACTTACATATTTCATGTCTAGTCAAACCTTCATACTAATATGATTATGTTAAAGACTGAAATTTTTGCAAATGATGCTGCATATAAATGCTTTCTTTTTTATTCTAAATGAATATGTGCTTTTCAATTTCCATACTGAATAAACTTGTTAAACCAGGCTGACAGCAAGAAAAACAATTTAAATAATATTTTAAAAATTTATATATTTTCTACTCTTGGTGTTTTCTGTTAATCTCAAAATTACATTTTCATAATAATATTTATTCATTATAATATAATATATTTGAGAAATTGAAATATAATATAATTGAGAATTTTTCTTTTCATATTACAATCACTCATGACAAATTACACCATTAAAGTATCTATAGTCAATATTATGACATTTTAAATCAATGATCCAAAGTGGGATCAAGGACCAATAAAAAGTTAATTTTTAAAGTCCTGAAATTACTGAAAAGAAGTATAAAATATAACTTTTTAAAAATGAATCACCACTAAAATCTACTTATCTACTACACAATTTGATATACTGTTTAAACAAATCAAAAGAAATAGAATCAAGTTGCACATTCATACAGAGTCACGCAAATCACAAATCAGAGCTACACATATATAATTCCGTATTTCCTAGGTAAAATTAACTCATTAAATAAATACATTTAAGGATTCATAGAATCGCTTTATAGAAAATGTCAATATGTGTGAATATAAAATTAAAGGACAAAATGCTTTTTTAAATAAGTGTAACTTTTTAATCCATCTATTTAATCCATCCTACTACATTTTATATTGACTTGAAATTTAGCTCAGCATTTCCCAAACAGAGGCTTTCTGGTCATGGGTCATGAAGATGATGGGAAATTTGTTCAAAATGTAGTTTCACACACATAGAAAAACATTCCTGGCATCCAATTAAAATAGCAAAGTAGAAAGTAGATATTTGTTTAAAATGTAATATTTGGACTTTTTGTTTTCTTCTTTCTCCAGTCCCATTTTATTCAAGAAATTCAAGAGCATTCACCAAAGAAGCTTATTTAATCCCCCCAAGGATTGGTTTGGTTCTCAAAGGTTAATCCTTTCTTCTCATCAATAATGAAGGCAAGATGACCCAAGAGGTATTGAATCAGACATAAAGAAGGTTGTTGAGGAAGATCCCTCCTTCTGGAACATGTTCAGTAATTCTTTCTCCTTTCCTGTTTTCCCATCCATGTGAATGAGTAGACCCTCTTCTGGTCCTATCTAATAACTATACAGAGAAACTGCCTTCAGCAAAGCTGGCACAGTGGAGAGTATAGAGGTGAAAAAGCTTAGGTTCCTCATGACCTGGTTGAGCTGTTGATTTACCAACCCAACAAATGTGCTAACTGTTAAAGATGTTCTCTGTGGGTTTCGTTATACAAGAAACAATTTTGAACCGGAATTACTGTCATAGACAGAAGCTGATATACTGGTGATTAGTTCCCAATTACGGAAACATGTTTTTTAGGAGGAATGAATTTATTACTTCCAAGAAAAAATATGAGAGAGAACATGCTATTAATGGCACTAAATATCAGGGGAGAACTATCATCAATATTGAATGAAGTTTAAAGCATTTTGTCCTATGTGATGCTTGAAGTGGATATTTAACAGAGCTTAAATGTCATATTTTAGTGATTTATTTCATTTTAAAGAAATAATTTGAAAAATTACAAAATAAAGTACAACATGATAGCTACCTGGGTCATAAAATAGATCAGAGTAATTTGAGCTTTCACCTAAAAAGCAAAACAAAAACTTGTAAGTATACATTTGGACTAAAAAATTACATAATGATACGAACTGAATAAGCTCGATACATACCATTTGTTTTAACCAAATAGACTTTTTTTTTACAAGATCAGTAAATAAAACCATGTTAACTGTTTTCCTTTAAAGTCCCACAATGTCCCACAATGTCCACACCTCTAAAAAAGAAACTAATAAAGAGAAGTCACTAACAGTTTGTACTGGAAACCCCTCTAACTTCAGAGGGCTGGAGAGATAGTACAGGGGATAAACCATTTGCCTTGCACGTAGTTGAGTACAGACTGGAGTTGAGCTCTCAACACTAACAGGTGTGGCCCCCAAACCAGAAACAAAACCCCTGCAGAATAAAGTGAATATTATATCTTATTTATTTTACAGTCTATTACAACAGCCATTTTTAATGGAAATTTTGATATTTTTTTCCTGAGATGGATCAGCAACAAAACAATAAATGCACTTTTTAATTTTCTGATGGCTTCTTGTAGTTGCTTTTATAACAACTGGGGGGCTGGAATGCCCAACTTGGTGGTTCTCAGGGGATACTCCTGGATCAGTGCTCCAGAGTTACTCCCTGTGCCCTTGAATAACCATGCAGGACTGAGAACCAAACCCAGGCTTCCTGCATGCAAAACATGTACTCTAGCCCATTAGCCCATTAATCTACTTGATTATAAACACTTCATGACTCATTTCATATAATGTTATGAAAGTATGTGCATCATACGCAATATCATATTTACCACTAGATATCAATATAGACTTGGTCTTCAGGGGAGGGGGAGTTTGAAGGCATAATTATCTTTTTATGGTTAAAACACAAAACAAAAAATTAAATCTGTTTCTCTATTGAAACTTCTTATGCTTTGCACTGTTTATATTCTAAGAGAAAAATGTAAAAGTACACTAAATTAATTTTAGGGCCTGAGTCTATAGTTATCAGGATTATCTGAACATTCTGTTTTTAAAGCATTGTTATAAGAACAACTGCAAAATAACTATTTTTTTAAAAAAATTGCCATCAACTATTATTAATGGCAAAAATTTTGCTGCTTACTCTTTATTCAAAACTAAGTGGGTCTCTGTTTAAAGCCTCCTTGGAAATAAATGTTAGTACAACATTTAAGTGATGACAAAATTATTTCCAAAGCTACTTACTATGCTTTTAGTCTTCGTCATGTAAAAATACAAAACTTAATTAACCATAAATCTCGTTCACTTATAATTTTATTTTTGAACCTTTGCAGACAAATGTCATTTTAAACTAGGTGAATCATGAGCAAATTTTCTACTGATGTGGTCCCAACAAATAATCAAGGTTAGTGTGAATAAAGAACCAAATTAGAGTGATAGTCAAATCAGAAATTCAACACAATTCAACTAGAATTTCTTCTCTCTCCCTCTCCCTCCTCCTTCCCTCCCTTTCTTCGTTCCTTCTCTATTTCTCTCTCCTTTTTTTTTTTTGTTGACTGTTAGCTCTATACTGTATTACTGGGATAGCATTAGTTTATACTATTATTAAAAGTTCAGTGTACAGTATTAGGACTGAATACCTAAAACACGTTTTTATGAACATCACCAAAGCTCTAGTTTCCATCTACTACCATGTATGGTGGTACAATTGACCGCCTTTACCCATTTCACTCAAAATCCCAACTTCTAGACACCTTTCTTCTTAGAACCTCCATTGTGTTCTTTAGATCTAAGCATTTATTCTAGCATTTACTTGAGAAAAACTTAAGTAAATGGTTGGGATCCAGCACAGTTCTGTGTGATTCACTAGGGTGCACACTTCAGACCAGTTTACATGATGGCACTATACAAAACTGTGCAGGATACAAGTTGGACAGTCACATAGTGTGGCCCTTGTGTCATTCTTTGCAAAGACACTGGTTCCAGTAAATTTTAGTTATATTTTTATTATCCCAAAATTCATATCAAAAACATTTTAAATTACTGCATATTTTATGCGATATCAGTATTTTTAAAGCAGAGGTGAGTCTTGATAAGGGCTTTCAAGGTGTTTGTGCTAGTTTGAGGGCAATTAAGTGAATAAATCACTAGCAAATCCCAGTGTCAGTTCAGATGCTCTTTCCTTATGTAAGAGAAAATATTTAAGAAAATGGATGGAAATGCCTGGCACAGTGACCTGGCATTGGAAGCTGTTCTACCCTGATGAAGTAATGATTCTACAACTAGTAATGATTCTAAATCTGTAAGGGATCTGCCCAGAAAACTACACTTTCTGAGCGTACTCTACATGTCAAGGACCTAGAATTCTCTCCAAAAATCCCTCAATCCTATCCCCTAAACTTGGCCAGATTTTCCCCTAGAACTGTGAGCCCGATAATGGGAAAATCACTAGTAAAAACACTTTTTTATCAAGATCCAAGGGAGGATGAGGACCGAGCCAGGACAGATGTCCCCGTAAGCACAAGGAATGTTGTCCCTGTTCACCGCTAACATCAGACAGTTCTGTAAGAAAGTAAAAGCACTAAGGAATCAGGGCAGATTTAAGACACACATCGTAAGAGGCACAACAAACTTCACTGCCAGACAGATCTGATCAGCCTTTTGATCAGACAGAAAGTGATCTCCCAATCATATTACTCATCCAGGAAATTCCAAGAGCACAAATCCAATTAACTCAGTACAGCAAATACCAGAATAGAAAAATGAGATTTTTGAATGGGATAAAAAGAAATAGGTTCACCTATTTTCTGGAAAACAGATAATTTTCCAGACTTTACTTCAGTATATGCCTTTCCTACCAAGTTCATCACATAAAAAATATTACATCAGGTCTAAACTTTCTTAAAAATTATATATTCCTAACTTTATTTTCATAGATATATGACATGTATTGCCACTTTTCATTAAGTGTCAGTCATAGCCAAATTCATTGCAATTTTATTAAACTTAAAAGGAACTCTACTTTCAAAGAAAAAACTTTAATCATAAACCAATAGCATAGGAACTATTCTTTGCGAATAAAAAATTCCTTGCTTTCTCAACAATGTTTTCTTGCTGAGGGGAGTCTATCTGTTGAATTTCACATCCTTCTCCATTCCTTTCTTCAATGGTAGGATCAATTCAGGGTCAGAGACACTGGGAGCTCAGATTACTGGGTTTGATTTCTGGTCAACTAATGTGTTACTGTGGCAATTAGGAGACTTTGCTTCATCTGTTGCATCAGAGTCCTCTGTAAGAGTAGAGAGGTGAGAGCCTTGGGTTTGGCAACAAAAGAGCTTCACAAAGCTTAATTAATTCCAATATTAGTACTTTTGAGACATACAGAGCTCTTTAAGTATAAATCTTAATTATGATTATTATTTTGAGTTCATAACAAAACCAAGCTCTTCTGGGTTATTTAAGGTAAAAATTAAGAACATTTCTTTCCTTGGACTCCAAATAAAAGAATTCCTAAACAATAACCTCAGGAGTCAGAGGTAAGGGGGTTTTACACGTGTCTAATGTATAATGATGGGAGAAATTTCCTCCCCTACATTCACTGGTCCAGTTATCTGCCAGTCTGGGGACCACTCTCAAAGTTCCAGAACACTCTGGTTCATCCAGATGTCAAGGATCTTTTGATAAAACATCACAAATGAGAAGCTGTGGGGAAAATTCTTCCAATATTTATAGTTTGTTACTGATGCACATTTTGCATAAGAGACAACTACTCCTTCATGAGGAAGCATAAGTCACTAACTCCCACTGTTTCAGCATTCTTGAACTGCGACATTTTTCCTGATTGAGTAGGCAGTATAGCATTCTTTATATGCACCTAAAGAACTGGAAGCTTTAAATCATGGAAATTTTATTAGCAAGTTCCTTGGATAAGTTTTTTTTTCTATATCCACACTATTATAATCCACATGGGTAATGATCAGAAATCAACATACTTTTATAAAAATACATTAGGTAGCACTGTAGCACTGCCCTCCCATTGTTCATAGATTTGCTTGAGTGGGCACCAGTAATGTCTCACGACAAATTGTGAGACTTGTTGTTATTGTTATTGGCATATTGAATACGTCGCGGGGAGCGTGCCAGGCTTTGCCATGCGAGTGGGATACTCTTGGTAGCTTGGCAGGCTCTCTGAGAGGGGCGGAGGAATCAAAACCGGGTCGACCATGTCGGCCGGGTGCAAGGCAAGTGCCTTACCCCTAGTGGTATTACTCCAGCCTATAGTTATGGATATAAATATGAATAGAAATATCGCTCCAGCTAATAGATATGGATAGAAATACATGACCTTGAAAATTCTTAACTTGTGTTATCTGATCAGAAGGCACTAGCAGTGACTTCTGGTTTCTTTCTCATGACAGTGAATCTCTCTAAGATTAATTTTTCTTAAATTCCATTTTCAAAAAAGACATCCTCACTGCTTCTAATCACCACTGTGTCTCCATGCACACCTTGTGTTCAGGAAGGGCGTTTTTGATATGCAGGATTAAATTCTAATGAGAACCACAGAATGGATCAATTTCATCTTAGACAAGTCTTATTTTTGGACTGTAAGCTGAATAGGATACAGCAGAATCTTTGGAGAATGCCCTAATGACCCTGAACATTCTATATGTTATGCCTTCTCTGCTCTTTTCACTTTTCACTCACTCACCCAAACCTCTTTAGTCATATATTGGACTCATCCCACTTTCTGTAAATCCAAATAAAGTGTATCTCTACGGATCAATTTGTCGATGTATTTTTATCACCACTGATATTCTCAGAGAGTCACTGACGAAAATTTGATGAAGTCTGACCAATTTTTCTAGGAGTTTTCCCAGACTCTGAAAGACTCGCATAGGACCACACCATCTGGGAACCTGTTAGAAATCCAGGATTGAAGGCTGGATTTCTAGAACTAGAGTCAAATATGCATTTTACAGGACCCCAGGTGATTCTTGTTTTTAAATATTATTTTTTTTCTAGTTGTTTTTTTTTGTTGCTGCTTTGTTTTGTCTGT